CAGGCTCTATTTCACAAGGATTCTTGTTGGTGATGGACATTACTTTCATCTTGATATTGATACTGGAAGTGACTTGACTTGGATCCAATGTGACGCGCCTTGTACCAGTTGCGCTAAGGTAAAGATTAAGTTTTTTTTTTGAGGATTTTTAGGAGAGTTCCTCTGTGAATATTGCTGATGAATTTTGGTGGGGGGGGGGGGGTTTAGGGAGCAAATCAACTATATAAGCCAAGAAAAGGTATGTTAGTGAGATCCGCGGAACCCTTATGCGTAGAAATTCAAAGGAATCAAATGACTTGTGAGAATTGTGAACAATGTGACTATGAGATTCAGTATGCTGATCAGAGCTCTTCCATGGGAGTTCTCACCAAAGATGAGTTTCGTCTCAATCTCCATAACGGGTCACTTGCCGAGTTGGATATAGTTTTCGGGTAATTTTTCACTTCTAGTTAACACAATTTGTGATTTTGTTACGGAATATCTGAGTGCTTTATGTTGTGACTTTGGGGTTTTGTGATTGGAACTTTAAGGTGTGGATATGATCAGCAAGGGCTACTGCTGAACACTCTGTTAAAGACAGACGGGATTCTCGGTCTAAGCAGAGCTAAAATTAGCTTACCTTCTCAACTTGCAAGCCGAGGTATCATCAGCAATGTCGTTGGTCATTGCCTTGCATCTGATTTAAACGGCGAAGGGTATATCTTCATGGGCAATGACTTGGTTCCATCACATGGAATGACATGGGTTCCTATGCTTCACCATTCTCACTTGTAAGTGGTAATTGATAACCAGCCTAATCTGAGAAACCTAGCAGCTTAGAAACCAGCCTAATTTATATTACATCTTTGTCACTTATCTATTCAGTGAAAATTTACATTTTTGTGTTGTTTCAGGGAAGTTTATCAGATGCAAGTTGCAAAAATGAGCTACGGGAATGGTATGCTTAGCTTAGATGGTGAAAACGGGAGAGTAGGGGAAGTCTTATTTGACACGGGAAGCTCTTATACATACTTCCCTAAGAAAGCTTACTCTCAGTTGGTCAAATCTGTAAGTAATCACATTCTGATACTAATCAGCCATTTTCTTAGTTTAAAATCTTCATCTGTTCAATAATGTTTTATGATCTTTGTTGGTGGTAGCTTCAAGAAGTGTCTGGGTTAGAATTAACACGCAACGAATCAGACAAAACACTGCCTATCTGTTGGCAAGCTAACTTCCTGATCAGGTACTTTGAGAACATATGAATTTTTCGTGAACCAATTTAAATAAACCATCAAATCTTTAAAGGTTAATTGTTGGTTTTCGATAATATGCAGTTCCTTATCGGATGTTAAACGGTTCTTTAGACCAATAAACCTCCAAATAGGGAGCAAATGGTGGATCAATTCAAGGAAATTTTTGATTCAACCCGAGGATTACTTGATCATCAGCGTAAGCACTTCAAGGCAATTGCTTTTCGATTTTGATTTGGCTTTATCTATTCGAGTTTCTTTACACACTTTTTGATGCAGAACAAAGGAAATGTATGTCTTGGGATATTAGATGGAAGCAATGTTCATGATGGTTCCACCATTATTCTTGGAGGTAAGAAAAAACTTTTATTTCTAATAAGCCACAAATTTCTTGTCTGAATCACATGATTCGAATACAAAACTTCTGCTTTTGTGGTTTTTGTAGACATATCGTTGCGTGGACACCTGATCGTGTACGACAATGTAAAACGGAGAATCGGATGGATGAGATCAGATTGCGTCCGGCCTCGTGAGTTTGATCACAATGTACCTTTCTTTGAAGGCTGAAGATTCATAATTCTTACATTATATCTGTATAAACCAGACACATACACAGTAAGTTGTAAATTACATAGTACATACTGTAACGTAACAAAAAAAAAAAAATTCAAGTTTGATCTGTAACATGAATATTCTACACGAACTAAAATAAAATGATTGCTCTGCACCGGCATAGTACTTTTTGATACTATTCAAAAAAGCTTTTAATCTATGGTATGAAAAATACAGATCGAACACTATCTTTCAAGTAGTTAAAACAGAGGTTTGTTTCAAGAAGATTCGGTCAAAAGCACTCATTGATTGTTGAGAAATTAAAAAAAATGTCAATTTTCAAGTGCCACTTTACAAAAATGCCGCACTTTTGAAATTTTTGCAAAAATATCATTTTTTCAAAAAAAAAAATTTATATTATTTATGTTTGGGTTAATTATGTTCTATTAGAGTTTAGTTATGAGGGTTAAAGGAGGTTTAGGGGTCAAAACATT